TTAGCATCGAGCCTATTTTATGTGCCAGCCACTAAAACAACATTACTTCAGCCTCAAAACAACACTAGGAGGTTGGTCATGTCAATATTCCTACTTTACAGAAAAAGAAACAGGTTGAGAGTGATAATTTACTTATTCAAGCTAGAAAGTTTGAGAACTGAGATTAGAGTACATGTTAGTCTAATCCAAATATCAGTGTTTTAACTATTTCACCAAACTGCCTCCCAAAGATTGTCCCATCTTTCCTCTTATTGCTCATACCTCTGACCCCGAGTTTCCATTTTCTATCGAATGCCCTAAGTCAGACCTTATACAACTCATGCAGGAAATGCCGGTGGGTCTCCTATTTGGTCTCTTCACCCTTGGGCCCTCTGGAGTGTAACCTGCTGGAGATGCGGTGCAGTGTGGTGGACAAGAGCTGGGCCCTGGCACCAGACAGACCTAACTCAATCCCAGCGTCTTCAATCATCTGTTTCTGTGATCATGGATTAACTCAACGTCTCTGAGTCTAAGTTTCTTGTGTAAAAAATGAAAATTATAATTTCATCTGTATCAAAATGGTTTTATTTTTTGAGTGTTTAATGTTGGTCAAGTCCTTGGCACAGTGCCTGGCACATAGTATCAGCTCAATATGTAGCTATTGTCATTCTTCCCAGAAGGAAACTCCCATCATGTTTTCCCCTTTTATCAATGCCATTTACCATGACCAGCACTCAGCACCCTCCCACAACCTGGCCCTGACTTTCTTTTTCATCTTATTTCTTTGTCTTCTAACTCTTCAGCCCACCAAATGGTCTTCTCTGGTTCCTGGCCTCTCAGTGGGGTGTAGAGAAAAGAGTGTGTCTTCTGGGATCAGGCAGACCTGGGTTTGAACCCAAGCTTTGCTATCACTAGCTCTGTGAGCTTGGGTAGGTTTCTTACCATCTCTGGGACTCAATGTTCTGATCTAGACAATGAGAATGAGGTTGTAGCGAGGGTTACATCTAGGAAAGCATTATACCTCACACCTAATACCCTTCAATAAATGTTTAATCCTCTTACCTATTTTTTAATAGAATCCTTTCCTACTGCCCAATCTTCCCATAGGAGCCTCCTTTCAATGATAAAGTTTCCTAGCTGCCCCCACTTTTTTCTGAATTCCTCTTGTGGATGCCCATAGTGCTTTCTGTCTATAATCGTTCAGAGACCTTTGTTTTGTACAGTTCTTTAAAGTTTTCATAGTTCTTTCAGAAACCAGCCCAATTACTTTGCACAACTCTGAGAGAGAAGTCAAGCCCAGTAATTACTCTCTTTTTTTTCCCCAGTGCAAATTGATAGCTGCAGAATAGCCATAGAGATGCAGATTGCTGAATGGGGGGTATAGTTGATAATAGCTGGGTATGGGGCCAGGTGAGTGCTTGGGGCAACAGGGGGACCGCTCTGTAGAGTGCATGGTTTTCTGACCACTTTGCTGTTGTACGTCTGAAACTGGTATGAAATGGTATTGAGTGTAAACTTTAGTTAAAAAATAAATTTTTTTTAAAGATAAGCTGAGGCTCTGAGAGATTGAATGGCTGGCTCGTGGTCATCATGCTTTTCTCCCCTGTATCATTCTGCACCTGAATGACTGCCCCTCAACTGAAATCATGCCCTTTCCAATTGTTTTTCAATGGATTCCTGGCTTGTTCCACCAGGGAGGGTATAGTCTGGTCCCTCACCCTAGCCTAGTGCCCTGAATGTATCTGTCATGTGGTTGATGTTATTCATGTGTTGAAATGTGAATTAATGTGGTATGTTGTAAGAACATAGTAGGAAACTTGCAAATGTATTGACTAGAAGGTCGGAACTGATATAATGACATTTATTGAAGGGTAAGAAACCACAAAGGCATCCCACTCTTGAGGCACTTGCTTCTCTGCACATGTGCCTTCAGACTGAATCGTTGGATGTTAGGGGAATTTGGAGTTAGCTGCTCCATCCCCTGTGCTCTGTGTTCTTGTTTCTGTAATAACCCTGACCATGCTTAATTGTAAGTAATCTGCTTATCCATCTGTTTCTCCGCCCCTAGACTGTGAGTCCCTCCAGAGCAAGCACCATATCTAATTCCTGTCAGTGTCCATGGCCAGCCACTGCACTTGGCACAGACTTAATGGAAGTTGAATGAATAAACCAGAAAGACCCATCTGGGCCCATCTCCTAATCCCCCTATGATTGTGCTTGTTCCCATCCTCTTATCCTGTTCCATATTTTCTATTTCTTATCTTCTATACTGAATTAAGGCAGGTTTCATGTTTTACTCATTTTTACAGTCTCCCTAACAACCAGGAAAGGAGGAAATTATAATTATTGAGTGTCTATTGTGTTGCCAGTAGTAATTGCATATATATTATCTCACTTTTTCAAAAATTGAATTTAATTCATATAATAGGTTGATAAGGTAGGCATTATCATTCTTGAATTATAAAAGGGGGAGCCGAAACTCAGGGAGATACAGTAATTGGAATTTGACCAAGTTTACACAGCTAGGAAGTAACAATGCCAGGATTTGGATCCCTCTCTGATGGCTTTAAGACCAATGGTTTCTTTTCTGTTGTTGGTTGGTGTTTGTTTCTTAATAGCATGCAGGATAGCTAAGTGCTTTAGCCCAGTAGGTGTCAGGAACTATGCTGAGCTGAGATTTGAATGTAATCACATTGAATCCAATCTGTACAAGCCTGCTCCCAAATGCTCCGAGCACAGACACTGCCACCTTCCCATTGGATCATTTGGATGAAATGCTTTAGGGAATGTGTACTGAGCACTCACACTGCATCAGGCACAGTGCTAGGTACTGGGGATACAGTGCTGAAGACAAGTTCTATCAGGGAGCTTAAGTCTAGTGGGAAAGCAGACAAGTAACGAGTGATTTTAAACGTTATCTGTGCTTGAGGAGGCCTAAGACAAGGGTTTCAGTCAGTCTTGGGAGGCTTCTGGGTATCACGAAGGAAGGATGAGTTGGCCAAGTCAAGAGTAAAGAAGCACAGAGGGACAAGCATGGGCTAAGCCACTGAGGTACAAAAATTGTAGGTAGGATGCCAGGCCAGCATGGCTCAGTGGTTGACTGTCAAACTATGAACCCAGAGGTCACGGTTCGATTCCCAGTCAGGGCACATGCCTGCGTTGCAGGCTCGATCCCCAGTGTGGGCTGTGCAGTAGGCAGCAGATCAATGATTCTCTCTCATCATTGATGTTTCTATCTCTCACTTCCTCTCCCTTCCTCTCCCTTTCTCTCTGAAATCAATAAAAATATATATATTTTTTAAGTTGCAGGTAGGGTGGGTCTGGAACAAGGGGGCATTTTGATGGCACAGAACAGGGGGACCAAGAGGTGCTTTGACCGGTTTCCCTGAGCTCACATCATGAACCAAAGGCCAGCACTAGTTCCTGCTCTTGCTCTGACACAAGCAGTGCTCTTGGCTGAGATGACAGCTAGGACATTCTCCCCACTCAGGAAGTGAGTGAGAGAAATAGCGGGCAGCGTCTCCATCTGTCTTCTCTAGGGACACAACAGATAAACACAAGTGTGCATCTCCCTGATGTGTGGGAAATAATGAACAAGCAGTTGGGCAGACCCACGTGGTGTTGTCATCTGCCTGGGGTGGGGCAAGGCTGCCCTCAGCAGGCCAGAAGGCTGGCTTTGTGCCCATGCTCTTACTGTGCCCCTGGGAGCAGGGACCATGGGATAGCAGGTGGCAAACGGATCAGGCCCCGTTGGGAATCATTTCCTAAGCGGTGGGTTGCAGTGGAGCATTCTACCCACTCTGGGCCACAGGGTGGTGAACTGCAAATGTCAGTTGAGGCCACCCAGTGCAAGTTTTCCTCTTCCCTATGTCTCAAAATGTTCTTAAACTGGAGACTTTTTAAACCCAACCAAAGAATGGCAGAGAACTAAGCCAACCCTATGATGAATTGTATGGAACTTAGTAAGACATATATATGTGTCTACATTCATCACGTGCAAAGCAAATCCAGTGTCACACTGGTATTGACTCTGCTCCTCTCCCTCCTCTCTCCGGGACTTTAAAAAATCTCCAGGTTAAGATCTGTCTTGGTCCCCCCCAGACCTTATTCTGCTCTCCTCTTATGTCAATCATGAATTCCCGCCTACATCCCACAACAGTCACCCTCCTGCTTGATCCCCACCAAACCACAGTGGACTGGTCACGTCCTCATATGCCAACTGCCTTCGCATCCTTCAGCACAGCTAGCCTGCCTTCCCCACCCCTCATCCTGGGAGGTACAGAAAAGCCAGCTAAAGGCAACAATGCTTATTCCCCAGAATTGTAAGCCTATTTCACACTCGATCCCTTTACCTTTTGCTCCTTGCTGACCACCCCAGCTCTGCACTCCAATTTTGCTCCCTCTAATGCATTCTCTACACTGCTGCCTGGATGATTTATCTGAAATTCAAATGTGATCGCATCATTCCCCTACTCAGAACCCTTCTGTGGTTTCAAACCCTTTCAAATGACATCCAGCCTCCTGAAGTATTTAGAACAAAGCCATCCATGAGTAGGCTTCTCCCTACCTCCCTGGCATTATTTCTTACCTCTTCCCTTGACAGTTTGTGACACAGCAATGCTAAATTACTTACGGTTCCCCAAACACACAGTGTTATTTAATGTTTCTTAGCCTGCCAGAAATAGTATCGCCTCTCTATTCTATCTTACAAATTTGATCAGCCTTTAAAATTCTCTCAGCTGTCCCCTTCTCTGAAACCCTTCCAAATGGAAGTCATCATTCTGGGCTGCCTCTGTGTCTTATTCAGTCATCTACCGTTGCCCTGTCTGCATATTCCCAAGACTGACTTGTTCCCAGGGACTGTCTTGCTCATCCCTGAATAGCCCAGGGCCTAGCACCGAGCAGGTGGGTAGCCAGCTCTGGTTTAGTCATTGTCGAATTATACTTCCTCCCCATCATGTAAGGGCCTTGAGTTTGAGCTACAGCCACACTGATACCTGCATCCTGATTGGCTTTCCTAGGTCGGGCCAATCACTGGTCTGCAATCATTGGTGGATCCCACTCCAAGAATTACGTGCTGTGGGAGTACGGAGGATATGCCAGCGAAGGCGTCAAACAAGTTGCAGAATTGGGCTCGCCAGTAAAAATGGAGGAAGAAATTCGACAACAGGTAAGAAAAACAATCACAGAATAACCCAAAACCAGAAATGCAGTCAAAGCATTCTTTAGATTTCTTTCCCAGGATCTTGAAATTGATAGTACAATGTGCTGGAAAACCGGTACCCAGGAAGCAGAATCTATTTGCTGAGTCTGGAAGGTCTGGGTTAGGCTGAGGACAGAGGCACCAATGCCCATCATGTTGTCCTTCTCTGCCTGTGTTTGTGTTTTCTTCCGTTTGTGCTAAAAGCTGCTGTTGTGGCCACATTGTTGGGGCACCGTCTCTGGTTTCCTGAGAGTCCACGTGGTGGGTTACGATTTGCTTACCATGATCCTTGAGAGGGTCAAGGAGCGACATCCAGGTTGTCCAAGCCAAAACTGCCATTTCCAAAGATAAACATTGAGGTGTTTGGTAAAGTAGGCAGGCGTTTGTTCTAATCATTAGAGACTGAAGCATCTTTCAGGTACCATGTGCCATGTTCTGTGGGTCCAAGAGCTGTACTATTATCTAGGTACCCACTCCTACCACTGAGAGACAAAGGAGAAATAACTTGTTATGAGGGATCTTGGAATAGGAGCTGCGTTTTCCTCTGGCCATTCATAGGCTGCCCTGTGGAGAGGAGATGGTCCAGCTTTGGCCATCACTACCCACAAAACCCCTCTGGGCCAGAGAGAGAAAATGCAGGAGGCCCCAGAGACACTGGGCCCATGTCTCCCGATGTGCATGTGCCCACAGACCTGAGCAGCGAAGGAAGCTGAGTGCAACTGAGGTGTTTCCCCTGGAAGTCACACATCTGGACTCCTGGCCCCCACACACCCTAAATTGAATGCAACAAAGGTCACCCTGACTCCTACTTTAATCCCCTGAGAAATCCTTTTGGACCAAAGTCCCAAAATGCCCAGGAATCAGCTTATGTTTCTCATAAATTCAATTTAAAGTCTTTTCTCCATTCTTGGAAAAAATAATGTTTAACCAGATGTTTTAAGATTGCTTGTCATGTATTCATCACAAGTCTATCTGACCAACTGCTCAGTGTTCCTCTGACTCTAGCTGTCCTGCCTGGTCACTGGCATCACTTATTCAGGCCGTAGCACAGCCACGCACATCGGCAAAGTCACGGCGAGCTCCTATTGGTCCCAGTCGGTTCCACTTGTCATGGGGGTGGGAGGGAAGTTCCCTGTTTGGGATCCTGAGGATCCATCCATATTTCTAGTTCTCAGGATTGGAATTGTGATACGCTGGCTTGTCAAGTTCTGTCGTGTGGTATGGGGAAAACCATGTGTTACAAATAATGGTTGAAATACTGAAGTTTGCAAATAATTTATATCCAAGGCAAGGGCATCTTCATAATAATGCCAGTCTCACTTGTTCGCTATCTTGAGAGTTTTCTGGAAAAAAAGGAAGCATGTATGAATGTGAGACACTGAGACCGTGTTGTGCTGGTGAACATATCTGTCATGTGTCATAGCAGCAAAAAGATTGATAAGTGATGGACAGAGCCCTCAGCCTTAGAATGCTCCCCTTAGGAAAACATTCTTTGCTTAGTGTGTTCACACTAGCCAGCACACCTGGGGTTGGCTTCTGTACCACACAGGCGATGTCTGCTTGTCCCAGCTGGCTAGTGTTTCTGACATTAAGTCATAGTCAGAAGTTTAATTATCGATACTGCACATGTTGATAAAAATCCCACTGAGCACGTCTCAGGGTCTATTACTGTCTTTCAGGTCCCCTGCGTACTGGACATGTACCTTTAGCTCTCACTTCTGGTTTGAGAAGACAACATATTCTCAGTTTTACAGATAAAGAAACTGGGGCAGGCAATAGCTAGAGAATACCAGAACTTGAACTCAAGTCTGTCTGCTTCCAACCCTGTACATAGTACCAGATATTAAATCTGCAGGGCCTTGTGAAAATGTCAGTTGCCTTGTTCAAAACTTGTTAAGATTTTCACGATGACAATGCTGTGAATTTCACAGTTCGGGGCCTGAGAATCTGTGGGTCTCACACCTGACACTGGCCCCGCCTATCCACCTTCCCTGCCCCACACAACTGCCCAATGGAGAAACTCCTCTCACCAGCCTCTGACATAAGCCTGTTTCCAGAGCTGCACTAACAATGCATCGAACTCCCAGCTCCTTAGAAAGTCAGTTGGATAGAGTGATTTCGGGGCCCCTTCACTTCCAAACACATCATGGTTCTATCGTTCCTGCAAACACCCAATTTATTATATTTTTATGTAAGTCAGGTAACAAGCAACATAAAAAGGAGCAGAGGTGGGAATCCTCCTAGAATATAAACATGTCCCCTGAATAACCGGGAACTTGTTTGAACACATCTACAAACTAACACAGTGTTCTGAGCCTTTAATACTTTATATCCTACCAATCACTCTATCAAAGAACCCGAGTCCAACCAGGATGAAAATAAAAAGCCCTTTCTTCCCAAGGAAGACATTTATATGCTTACCAGCCTTCTCGTATTATAGACTCGCTACAAGTTTCAAGGACATTAAAAATCACAGTAGATATTGTTGGAGGTAAATCTGATGCTAATGGCTTTCAAACAAATGAACAAACTAGTAATCCCATTAGTAGTGGGAAATTGTGATAATATCATTGAGTATAATTTTTAGTGTTAATATAACTACAAAACACCAAGAAAATTCATAAAAAATTACAGCAGCATTATTGGCAATAATGACACTGATGGCTGGAGAGAGTGGGGGAAGGGCGCAGGGCACACTTCTTAGAGGGAGACGGAGGCAAATGTGCTCTGGTGGGCACTGTGCATTAGCCTGGCAGGTCACAAATGGGCAACACAAGGCAGGTGGTAGCAGTAGAAAATGGTAGATCACACGTGTAGGTAGACCCGGGAACAGAAAGTGAGCTGATGTGTACTCATGGTAACGAACATGTTACACTAAGACCGTTTCTACTTTATCTAGTGCACATTTATGGCATGTGTACTGACTGACTGTTTGGTTTTCTGCTGGCTGCTGGCCCAAATCTGGTGCCCTCCTCACCATGTTATCCTTACTAGGAACCTAGGCATCAGATTCTCCCCCTACCCCAACTTCTGCCTTCTCTCTTAAATTCATTCAGTCAACTCCCTCATCAGCACTGCCCCGTCTAAGCCATCCTCATCTCTTGCCTAAATTCTTGCACTAGCCTCCCAATCTCCCTGCCTCCAATCCTCTTCCTATTATTCATAGTAGATATAGTTGGAAGTAAATTCATCAGCACTGCCCCGTCTAAGCCATCCTCATCTCTTGGCTAAATTCTTGCACTAGCCTCCCGATCTCCCTGCCTCCAATCCTCTTCCTATTATTCATAAGTAGATATAGTTGGAAGTAAATCTTATGCTGATGGCTTTCAAACAAATGAACAAACTAATAATCCTATTAGTAGTAGAAAATTGTAATCGTAGATATTAATCACAGTAGATATTGTTGTAGGTAAATCTCCAGGCCCCAGGCCACTTTATAAAACATGAATCAGGTCCTACCACACCCCCAATTAAGTGTATTAATTTACTTATTCAATAAATGTATTGAACATCTGCTAAATGCCAGTCTTTAGAGATGATGTGACAGTTCATTTCCTGCCTTCATGGCGTCTACATTCTAACAGGGGAGACCAAGGAAAAAATAAGTAATTGTAAATTATAAGTGCAAAGGAACAGGGGTGACATAGAGGACAGTGGTAGAGAGGGGCCTTTTTAGATAGGTAGTCAGAGGAGGTCTTCCTGAGGAGTGGCCATGAAGCTGAGACCCCAAAGAAAAGCAGAAGGGAGAGATTCTTTTAGATGGTGACAACAGCATGTGCAAAGCCCTGCAGCAGAACTGGGCTTATTGTGCCTGAAGAACTAAGAGAAGGCTGGTGTGGCAAGAGGAATGACGGGGAGTGTGGCACAGCATGAAATATTCACAGAATGGGTGGAAAGGCAGATACATAAGTAACTATTAAAAATTATAGTTTCGCCCTAACCAAGCTCCAACCCCGGTGAGGGGCGTGCAGGAGGCAATTGATCGATGTTTCTCTCTCATCAATGTTTCTAACTCTCTATCCCTCTCCCTTCCTCTCTGTAAAAAATCAATAAAATATGTTTTTAAAAAATTATACTTTCTTTAGGGGCATCTGCGCATCAGATGGGGAACTGCAGACACCGGACTGTGACCGCTCTTGAACCTGCCATTTTCTGAATCCCCCAGGCTTCACTGCTGTTTCCTCCCCTCTCCCAAGCAGGCTAGGTGTCCCCTGAAAGCAGGCACCTTTTGGCCTTCCTCACTGCCTCTATTCATACTCATCCTACTGTTTCATTACGGTTCCTTGTACCTCTTCAATTTTAAACATGTCTAATTGCCTCCTTTGGATTATTCTAATATCTCGGGGTCTTCAGGACTAATGTTCCTTTGGAACTTGCTCTCTCTCTCTGCCCATCACTAGTTTCCTCATTTGGTTTTGGGTTGTTTGATCATCTCTAGTGGTGTTTTTCTTTTTTTTTTTCCAGGGGGAGTCCTCTGTGTCTCCTTAGGGTGACATTGTATCTTGGTCTTGTCCACCTGAGTTTTTAAGTCATTTATCAGTGGGGAAGGCCCTACTGCATGGCCAGTATAAATATGGATTCTGCACTCATACATGGGAGAGACTAGGACTTCCGTTTTTTGAAAGTGAATTTTACTCAAGGGTCTGGACAGAGGCCAAGCTTCCTTGCCACCTTCCCCGGTGACTGATGGAGAGCTTTCTTGTATCCTGTTCATAAACAGGGTAGCTCTCAAATGTCCAACTTGATGCAGGAATGTCTTCCTGCATCTCATCTCCCATCAAGATCTTTCCCTCTCTCCTCGCATGGCTTTATTCCCTCCACCTCTAGCCCCAGGGCCCATGTCCTGGTCCACAGCCCAGACAGGCCACCATGTACCAGCTCCTGCTCGTGGGCCTGGGGTAGATTTTCCTTCCCATTCCTGGCATCTAGACATTTTCTAAACACAGTTAGGTATTGTTAAAATCTGT